GTGCATAGGAGAGTTGTGTCCCTCTGGATACTCTGTGGCTGTGTAAGCATTTACACACAGTCCTTACCCAAAATATCCTTCCTCCAGCTCTGCTGGCTGCTGTGGCCCAGCTCAAACAAGGGTGCAGTGTCCCTGGACCCTGCTTTGCACACCCAAAGTGGCTCTGTTAACTGGCAGATGAGGAGTGTGCTGGTCCTGCCCCCTTTTCCTCTGGCTGCCCAAGGAACCAAGGATGGAGGAGGAGGAGGAGGATGTGCTGTGGCTCAGCCCTTCTCTGGAGGCCTGCCTGTGTATCCCAGTGGGAGTTATGGAGGCAAGGCAAGATGCCCTGAGCTTTGGGAGCCTTCAGTCAGCACTTGCAGGGGCAGGATAAGAGTTTGCTGCCCCATGTGCTGGAGGCTGTCACAGGAGGGGCAAGTCATGACCCCACTGCCTTAAGACATCCCTGGCCAGATATATTTGGGTTGTCTGGAGCTGCTAAAAGCCTGTCATGGTGGAGCCACTGCCTGTCCAGTCACAGCCTGATCAGGAGGAAAGGAAGCTCTGCAGGCTGGTGCTTGGTCCAGACATTCCTTAGCAGGCAAATCTCCAAGGCCTTCCAGGATTCTTGGGGACATCATGAAGAGAGGAAGGGCTGTGTGACCCCTGCTCCCAAAGGATGTGCTGTTACCCCATCCAGGGTGCCTCACTGAAGAAAGCCAGCATGGCAAAACCTCCCATCAGCATCTGCCACTGCAGACTCTGGGTGGGACATCCCTGCCTGCAGAAACTGGAGAGATCTGGATCCTCCCTGATGATCCCTGCTGAAAACTCCTGTACAAATGCAGCATCTTCTTCTCCTGGAATACCAACTGCCCAGGTATTTCTCACTCCAGGTGGGAATAACTCCAGGCAGTGATGCCTTTAGTGGATGAATGGTCTGAGTAACATTTCTCACTTCAGCTGAAGTCAGTGCTGGAGTCCCATCCTCACCTGGCTCTCAGCAGAGCAGGTTTACACGTTACCTCCCTCTCATCTTTGCACTGGAGCTACTAAATGATATCCCTGGTTCCTCCCAGGCCTGCACAGTTCAGTTCACTGACTGCTGTGAGAAACTTGGTTATTTTTGGTCTTGTGGAAACAACATTCCTGGCTTTTAAAATCTTCCTGTGAGACCAGACAGTTCATGATGGTCTTAGCTGTGATTGTCCTTTGGGATCAAGTGACCTGAAAGCCCCAGAGACAGCAGAGAGCCACGAAAAGCAGCAAATGTGACCTTCCTTTTGGGAACCTGCCAGATGTGTTTGGTGTTCCAGTGTTGGGTTTGTTTACTAAAGGCTGATGCTGCCTCTGGGGATGGGGAAATACCAAACTGAGAGAAAGCTCCTCCTCAGACCTGAGATCCTGAATCTTCTGAGACACAGAGAGCCCTGAGCAGCCCAGCTCCTTGGGGGTGCAGTTCTCCTGTGTCACCCAGAACTGGTGCCCCAGCTGTCCCACAGCTGCTCCCCCTGGGTGCTCTCCTCTCCCGTGGTGGTATCTGAGCATCTGAGTTCCTTGGGCTGGATCTTTGCCATGTCTCTCCTCTTCCTTTCCAGTCCCTGCTGTGGAACGAGTCTTCCCCCACCCTTTTCCGATTCTGTGCACAGACATTACAACAACTCAGCAGACATCCTGCTCAGGAACACTTGACCTTATGTCATCCCCCTAATTAGAAGTTGGGATCAGCATCATCTTCCACAGCAGCACAGACTGGCCCAGCGCTGGCATTTCCTCAGGGAAGAGGCTGCTGGTGAGGATCTGGCTCTGATTTCTCCTCAGATCCATGTTTTCCATGTCAGCCCTTGGATGAGAAGTAGTTAAAGGGTTTCAGATCTCCCATTCCTACCACACACCCCTTAGAGTAGGCACAAGGAGGCTTTGCCAGCCATCAGTCAGACTCTATAATCTTGCAGACTTTTTTTAATACTGCATTTTCTAACTATTATTTCTCCCACCCTGTGGTTCCCACTGCTGTTACAAACCCCCTCTGTACTTAGGCAGGAGGTTTGTGAGGGAAAACGTGATTCATTGTGTGCAAAACTCCATCCTAGATAGAAATTCTGCCTTGGAGAAATCCTTTCCTTTCCTCACCAGCACAGCATGTGACGATGCTGAAAGGAAACCTCAGTAATTACACTGCACTGAAGGCTCTGGTTGTGGGTTTGGGAGTTTTCCCTGATCCTGCAGCTGGACTGGGCCCCGTTCAGGCCCACACAAAGGGGGTTCCACACGTGTATAACCCATAGGTTGACTTTCAGGAGCATAAGGCAGGGAAATCTCCTGTGTTGTCATCCTGCAGACAACCAGCTGCTTTCTTTCTGGCCTGTGCTGCCTCTTCCTGCTGTCCCAACACCATCTTCTTGCTTAACTCAAGCCCTCAGGGATTTACTCTCTGTCCTTAGACCTGCTGATTGCAGCAACCACTGGTGGGGTTGGGAGGGGCCTCAGGATCCCCTGGTCCAGCCCCGCTGCTCACACAGGGCCACCCACAGCTGGCTGCCCAGGACTGTGTCCACATACCCTTAGGTGGCAACTCCACCACCTCCCTGGACAACCTGTGCAGTGCTTGGTCACCCTCACAGTGAGAAACTCCTCATCCAGGGTTTGTTTTGTTTCAGTTCGTGCCCATCACTTTTTGTCCTGTTGTGCCAAGGGAGACCCCATAACTCAGATCTCTGCAGTGCCTGAGAACATCTGCAGTCCTGTGCCACCTCTGTTCCTGTCCCCCCCTATTCAGGGACTGTCCAGCAGCCCCTTTGCCTCTTGGGGGGGTGTCCAAGCCCTCTGGTTTTGGGGTGCCCGTGCACTGACTGAGGTACTTGACCTGCTCCTCGCCAGCTGCTCTGCACCTGCTGAGAGCACTTGCTGTGCAGCCCCACTGCTGCTGTGCTGAGCAGAGGGCTGGGCACACATCCCCAGCCTGGCAGTGCCCACGTGTTGGGAACAGCTCTGTGTGCAATCCTGAGGCTCTGCAGGGTGAGTGTGCTGTGAACACTGATGGGATGGGTCTGGATCCTCCACGTGACACGAGGCCATGGGGCTTTCCAGCTGCAGCAGGAGCTTTTGGGTGCAGGATAAATATGTTCAGAGCAATCCAAACCTCACATGGGCAGCTGATTTGTGTTCCTGGATGAGAGCAGTATGCCCATCACCTTTGCATCTGGCTCAGCATTTTCCATGAGCAGTTGCTCTAGAGTCTGTTGCCTTTGACTCCCAGCTGGCACCTCCAGTCCTTACCCATGCCAAGGCCTCAAACCAGGAATGCTCTAACTCCCCATTTACTGCCTCAGCAAGCCAAATACAAGGAGGATCCCTGTGCTGCTGGATGCTGGAGGTGACAGAACACACTCTCTGCATTCCCAGGGGCAGGGGAGGTGCTGGTTGTGCTGCTCGGGGGGAGCAGCAGAGCTGGGGCCCCGCTCTGTGCTCGTTCAGGGCAGGGAGAGGCAGCAGCACCTCTCCCATCCACAGTGTTATTTAACCTCTGGCACTAGGGAAATTCGTGAGAACTTCACAACTCTTGGAATCCATCCTCCTCCTTCCAGTGTTTTCTGGTTTAAAGTGTCATGAAAGAGCACTGAATCACTGACAGCTGCACTGAAACTGTGTGTTTGTGAGTGAAGTTTGGGAGGAAGTTTGATCACTGCTTAAAAACCACTGGTACATTTTCTCCTCCTCTCACATGAACCTTCAGCAGGAGCAAAGGGTGACACAGTTTGCTTTAAATGTCACCACTAACCCCAGCTGAGGTGACTTCCTTCCCACCCCAGCGCTGATGTGAAACGCAGCCTGGTGATGTGAAACACAGACTGGGCCAGTGCACCAGGCCAGGAACAAGCCCTGCCTGAGGAATCAGACTGGCTTTAGGCTCATGGCAGCTCTGTTTCTGCAGGCAGAAGTGCTGGGCTGGGCAGAGCAATGGCAATGCCAGCAGGGCAGTGCCAGTGGCAGCAGTGCCAGTGGCAGCCGGTCCCTGCACAGCTTGGACCAGGGATGCTCTGCACATACCACTTACAGGTGCTTCTGTGGGAGAGTTTAGGGATGGAGAGTTCTGTTCTGCTGACAGGTGTGGGGTTTTTTGGTTAGTTAAACCTTTTAATCAGAACTTAAATGGATTTTGATTACACTCTAATAAAGATGTTGGGAGAGAAAAATCGAACTCTTCCCTCCTGTTTAACAAGCTCTGTGTGGCTTCCACAGCTTCTCCAGGCAGGCAGCTCATCCCCATCCTGAGGCCTGGCTGGGCAGTTCCTCATCCTCTACTCTCACACACAGAGGGATTTCACCACTGGTCCAGCTCTTAATTGTTCTGCCAAGGCCATGAAGCCCATGGAAGGAGGAGCCCTGACCCAGCTGATCCCACCTCAGGCCTGGGACAGGGTTGAGGTGATGCTCCTCCAGCTCTGGGATTTCCTACGGTTCAGTGAGGGGTTCCTTGAGCCTGTTGCTGTGGGGTGGTGCTGTTTGGTATGAGGGGCAGGATGGGAGGACAAACCTCTGCAGCACTGCCCAATCCGAGCAGGGACCCAAACTGGGCTGGGAATGGTGGGGCCTTGTGACCACTCCTCTCCTCCTCACCCCAGAGCACTCATTCCCTCGAATTCCATTCCCTTCCCCTTTCATCCAGCTGAGTGCACAGCCATGGCAAAGTCCCCACACTGCACCGAGCCCCTGCCAAGATCCCCCCTCTGCCAGGATCCTCTGCCAGGATCACCCCTCTAGCTGTGCCTCACCCCCTCTTGCCATGATTCCCACTGCTCTGGTTTCCACCATCCCAGCGAGGCGAGAAATCCCTTGACTGAGCTGTGAACGGGCTCCTGTGGAGTGGCAGGACTGAGACCCAGGGGCCGAAACAAGAGAAATAAAATCGAGGAGGTTCCTGCCCATCCCCCTCCTCTCCACTTCCACTGCTTTGGAGCCAATGGGCTGATGGACAGAAATGAGAGGAGTGCTCTGCATCTCCCCTCACCCTGTGAGCACTGGAGCCAGTCCAGAGGAGCCCACGGAGATGCTCCCAGGGCTGGAGCCCCTCTGCTCTGGAGCCAGGCTGGGAGAGCTGGGGGGGTTCACCTGGAGAAGAGAAGGCTCCAGGGAGACCTGAGAACCCCTTGCAGGGCCTAAAGGGGCTCCAAGAGAGCTGGAGAGGGACTGGGGACAAGGGATGGAGGGACAGGACACAGGGAATGGCTTCCCACTGCCAGAGGGCAGGGTTAGATGGGATATTGGGAAGTAATTCTTGGCTGTGAGGGTGGGCAGGCCCTGGCACAGGTTACCCAGAGAAGCTGTGGCTGCCCCTGGATCCCTGGAAGTGTCCAAGGCCAGGTTGGACGGGGCTTGGAGCAACCTGGGCTGGTGGAAGATGTCCCTGCCCGTGGCAGGGGATTAGAGTAAGATGGGTTTAAGATCCTTTACAACCAAAATATGCCTGTGATTCCATGACCTGCCCTCCCCAGGCTGAGTGGGTTTAGAGCCCCTGAGGGGCAGGGACGAGGCCCAGGAGGGCCCTTGTCCCCAGAGCTGTGGGGCACTGGGGTCCTGCCATGCTGTGGGTGCTCAGATGGGTATCCTGGTGCCCAGAGCTGTGTCTCAGCCAGCTGAGGACCGATGGATTCACCACTGCCCAGGCCCTGGCACTGCACTGCCTGCTCTCAGCCCACCCCACTCCAGCCCCTTTTACAGATCCCCCTTTGCCAGCCCCACTTTCAGGGGATCTTTGCCAGAGGAGTCACACCACCACTGGCACTGCTGTCCTGGCCTGGTCGACAGCACAGCAATGCCTGTGAGGGGACAGGGAGTCAGCCCTGCTGGAAAGGACAGGCTTGGGCAGCAATTAATGTTTTATAAAAGCAAGAAGTCTCAGTGCTGCTGCTGCTGCAACTTGAGGAGCACAGGCCAGGGTGCAGAGCAGGAGGAGGAGGAGGAGGAGGAGCAGGAGCTGATTCAGCAGAGGGAAGGAGCCTGGGGGGCCTCAGCCTCCCTGCAGGCTGGGGGGCATCCCTGCTGCTCCCTGGGCTGGGGGGCACAGGGCATTTTAGATGGGATTCATTGGGAACAGCCAGGCTGGGAACATCCCAGTGGAATGTGCAGCTCTGAAAAGAGGAGCAGGATGCTGTGCTGGGCACAGGGACTTGTCCTCCACACCTTCTACCTTCCCGTTGGGAATCCCCTGGGATCGGGCCTGGGAGTGGTTCCTCATGGATGCTGGGCCAGTGCCAAGGGATTCTGATGGAGTGGTTATTGGTGTCACAGTCCTTCCTGGGGACAGGCCCAGCCTGGTACCCCATGGCTGGCACCATCCCTGGGGACACACTGGATGTCACCTGCCCAGCCCAACCCTCACTGGGTGCCCCCTGCCCTCCCTACAGTGGAATGCACACACCTCCAACCCCCCCAGAACCCACCCGGGTGTCCCCAACACACGGATGCCCCCCTAGATGCCCACCCCACACCTGCATGCCCCCATTAAATGGATGCCCACCCACCTGGATGCCTCCCCGTAGCTGGGTGCTCACACACACACCCCTGAATGCCATCCTTTCCTGGATGATACTTGGATGCCCCCCAATCCCTGGAACCCCCAATCCCT